TCCCTGCAAGTGTATTTAGTATGAAGGGTGAGCAACACAGGAGCCTGGGGAAGTCATTCCCTAAAGTATCTTTCCTTCCCAATTAAGAACATGAGCCAGATGTCATGAGGAATTAATTTTCAATTTGTCCTGGAATATGGAAATAATAGGCAGTTTATTCCTACAGTTAAACATATTCATTTTGGTGCACATGGTGATATCATTGTTTCCAAAACTGTTCTCCAAATGCAAGCTTTTGAAGAAAAGCCTGCTTGAAAATCTGGCCTGAGGATGTCCAAAAACTGGAACATCCTGTAATGGTAGAAAGTAAGGATGTGCTGTGATTGACAGCGAATGTACTAATATGGGAACCACTTTATTTCATTCTGGGAATTTCTTAATTTCTTCCCTGATTTCTTCAAGGTACAACTTATTCTTCAAAAGTGAATTGCTTAATTTTCATCCATTTGTATAATTTTGTGGGTTTGACTTCTCATTAAAATATGACCCAAAATTGGAAGAAAGTTTTCAGTATTTTGTATTTGCTAAAATGTGCTTTAAGATCCAAAATAAGATCAATTTTGGAGAATCTTTTATGAAATGCTGAGAAGAATGTGTGTTCTGTTGTCATTAAATGAACATCCTATATATACCTGTTAAGTACATTTGGTCTTTGCTATAATTTAACTCGTGATAATTCTCTGTTGATTTTTGTTTCTGCATGGCTTATATATTGGTGAGAACTGAGTACTGAAATCACCCACTATCATTGTATTGGGACCTATGTGTCCATTTATGTTGAGTAGTGCATTTATTTTTATGAAGTTGGGCACACTAGAGCTCAGTGCATATATATTTGCAATTACTGTGACTTCTCTCTGGATTTCTAACTTTCCCTAGATGGAGTGGGCATCTTTGGTCTCATCTAATTAATTTTGTCTTGAGGACACCTTTGTCAATGAGACTTTAGGTTCTCCTGCTTGCTTTGGGGCTCCATTTGCATAAAATGTTTTTCAGGTTTTCACATTCAGTCTTCTTTTGTCTTTGATAGTAAGGTTTGTTTCTTAAAAGCAACAAAGAGTTAAGTGTTGTTTTTAATCCAGTCTGCCAATCTCTGTCTTTTAATTGGAGAATTAAGGCAATTTGCATTCAAATATATTATAGAAACTTCAGGTCTTGAAATACATTATTTTATGCTCTCCTGGCCTTTTGAATTTTTCCAGTGATGTCTGGAGCTCTTTTTCTTGGGTTCAGTTTTATAGTGATATAGCAATTTACCTTGCAGCACTTGATATTTTTTTCCTGAACTGTATTTTTGCCATTTTACCTATAATGTGATATTGGGAGGTTCTTTTCTGATCATGCAGGTTGGCTTTATAAATGCCACCTGTATTCGGGTGTGCATATCTTTTTTATGATTTGGGAAGCTTCCTGTTAATAATGAATTAAACAGATCTTTCCTGTCATTAGTCTGAACTTTAGAGACCTCTTCTACACCAAAAATATGGAAATTTGGTCTTTTAACAATGTCCCACAATTCTTAGGATATTTGGGTCACAATTTCTTGTTTTGTTTCTTTTTCTTTGTGTCTGTGTATAAAAATTCATTATCCTTGTCTCCAAGTCCTGAAATTTTATCTGCTACTTGATCCTTTCTCTATATTGGTGATCATCCCCATTGAATTTCTTATTTAATTTAATGTGCTTTTCATTCCCAGAATTTTGTTTCATTCTTCTTAGGAATTCAATTTCTTCACTGAATTGCTCCTTTCTATCCTGCATTGTTTTCCTTAGTTCACCAGTCTACTTGTGTTCCCTTAAAAGTCATAATCGCTCAATGTCTTTTTATTTAGTTACCAATAAATTGCAGACCTTAGAGAAATAATGTTGCTTTTTTCTTTTATACTTCTCATCTTTATACGTTGAGATATTTACACCTGTTGGAATAAAATATTCTCCACTTTTGTTTGAGTGTCTTACTAATACCCAGTTTTCTTTTTAAAAAATTTTTATTTAAAAATGAAGAAAAATGATGATACAGAATTTCAAAACACAATAGTAGGCTAACACCAGTGAATATATTGTATGTTACCTTCAAAGTAGTTGTTCAAATTACAACATATAGACAAGAAAATGTGATAAAACAATTGAGCAATGAAAGTGTAAGTTGTTCTTTTAATGAACCAATATATATGTATATATATATATATATGTATGTATATATACACATATATATGTATATATTTTTTTCTTTTTTTTTCTCCTTTTCCCTATCCCAGCCATCTTCTGAAGAACTGATTCCCAGTACCACTCAGAGAAGAGGAAAAAAATAACTGCAGTAATGTTAATGGCAAACCAGGTGACAAAATGACAAAAATATATACAAGCCAATTAAAAGCAACAATTATATGAATATTAATAATATAAAACAAATTCCAATAATGATATAAATTAAAATACTAAAAATCAATGAATTTAATAACAAAATATGGAGACAGTGGGGAAAGGGAAACATGGAATAATTTAAATGTAAAAATAGAAAAAAAGGATGAAAAGCAAAATAAGGATGAAAAAGAGAAGAGAAAACTGAAAAAAATCTCCAATTGCAGAATTAACAAGTTAAGATGTGTTATGTACATATATCAATTCCATCAAGAATATAACCATTGTGTACAACAATGCACTAATAAAAAAGAAAAAAAGAATTAAAAATAAACAGAATTGCAAGAGAAATGAAAAATGAAATACATAAGAGACAAAAGTGAACAAACAATAAAAATAGCTAAAGAAAAAAGTAAAAAATTAATCAAAAAATGCCCCCTTTTCTCAAGATATTTAGTTGGCTAATTTCCTTCTAGTCATAGTTTGATATTTTCCTTGCAGTATTGGAATCCACTAAATAGGAAGGAAGAAAAGTGAATCATAACTGGTCTTTCTTTGTGTTCACATCCACTTAACAGGATTTTCTATATGAATTCTGAATCTTGCCTATCTTTTTTTTGCTGGGCTGAGTCAGCCATTGGTTCCTTGTTTGCCTCAAGGTTTTATTGTTTGTTTTTGTCCTTCCTGGCCCCCAGACCTGCAGTGAGGCCCCCTACTTGCTCCAGGGGTTCTTCTGTCTACCACCCCAGGGAGATGGCAAATGACCAAGCGCAAATGGGGAAAACCAAAAAGACCACTGAGTTCTGTGCTGGAAGGAGGTAATGAGGAAAGCCAAGGAATCTGCAGGGCTCAACCCCAGTCTTCTCTAACGCAGTCCCCTCAGAAAATCACACACTCCATGGGCCTTGCACCTCACCACAGAGTAAGAAGCTACCAACCACTATGTGCACAGTTTGAGTTAACTACTGCTTAAAGTTCTGAGGAGCCCTGTTACAAGCCCTGTACCAAGTATCTGGACGCTGTGTACCACCAGGCACTATAGTAGAATGATGCTAGAGACTCTGAAATGAAATCTCAGAATTCTCTGTGACTTCTAATTCCTGGAGTAGCTCAGTCTTAAACATTGTATTCATTCTCAAATGGGCCCTGATTATGCCAATGCTACGTATGGTGGCACTGAAGTGGTCATGTTTTCATGTCTGCCATGAAGAGGAAGTCACTTTCAAGGAAAAATCCCATCTTGTAATATAGCTTAAAATATTCATGGATTCTTCCTATTTATGACTGAGACTGCAGCTCTCTTGATTCTTTTCAGTCTTACCTTATGCGTGTAGAGATGGATTCCTCTCCCTGCTCTGGGATCCAGTGTTAGCATTCCAGACTGAGTCACTCTTTTCTATGCATTTTCTTCTGTTCTTTTGTGACTTTTATCTTTCCTGCAGGTTTTTCTTGAGTTTTGACATTCTTCTATTTTTCTAAGAAATAATTTTCCAAGTGTTTCCATTCCAGGTCACAGAGAAGGTGCTAGTTGCTTATACTCCACCATACTCAAGCTTCTAAAGACAAAAATAAGAGTAAATCTAGGGTTGTGGGTGTATTTCAGTGGTAGAGCAGATGGTTGAAAAGCTTGCTGCAGAAATCCTTTGGAGGGCTGGTCTGGTACCTCGGTCAACAGATGAGCAGCCCTAGTATGTGCTTCTGTGAACTCTTGAAGTCTGGCTCCCCTGAGAATTCTCTGTTCATCAGGCACATGGGGTGAGGCTGGAGTCTGTATCATCAAGGACCAACTTCAGCCTGGTCCCATGACAGAGTCTGTCACTTTGGAGTGGGATTTGAGCTCCAGTCTACCAAGACTTCTGAGCACTGAGATAAGTCTCTTTCTTGGATCCACTGAGAGTGTCCTGTAGCCTGTGCTCACATATATATATATATATATATATATATATATATATATATATATACTGGGACTATAACATGGGGCTGAGAGGGTCTGCACTGCACCAGATTTCGCTGGGACAGGCAGAGTTTTTGGTCCCAGGCAACATATCTTACTGAATATCCATGTTTTCTTCCACTTTCCATTTCTGGGATCAAGGAAATGGAAAAAGTAAGACCTTTTCCTTTTCCAGTGTATCTCTCTTTATATCTGTGATACATATGTTTTGAACTGGTTGGTTTCCTTAGCTACTTTGAAGGTGTGTGTATTTGGGAAGTTATTCAGATCATTAATTATCTGTGGGGATGAGTACTGGAAATTTTTTATTTCAGCAATTTTATTACACTACTATCCCAATTTGAAAATTCTAATTACTAAAATATATCACCAATAGGGTACTAAGGATTAACTTCAATAACTTGGAGAAGTGTATGGAATAATTACATTGCATTACCTCATTTTAGAAGCATAATTTCTTTCTTTTATTTACACTTTTTTTTTTCTTTTTTCTTTTTATCGGTACCAGGGATTGAACTCACGACCGCCTGCTTGCAAGGCAGGTGCTTGTGCCGCTGAGCTAAATCCCCAGCCCCAGAAGCATAATTTCTTAACATAGTTATAATATACAACACATAGATAGTGTGACCTAAAACTAAGGTGAATACTGTACTTTCATGTTTTTAAAAACTTATTACAGTGAAAAACAATTTGCTATTCAACCCCCTCAAAATATTCTCCTTCCCTTCAAACATACTTGTACCATTATTTTGGCCACTTCTTGAAAATGCTCTTGACATCCTTTCTAACATCTCCTGGTGCGCTGTAATGACTGTCTGGCAATTCTCAATCAATGCACAGTCTTTTGCAAAGAACCAGAAGCTGCATAGTACCAGATTCAGTAAATAAACTGGTTAAGTTCACAACATATTTTATTTGACAGAAATTGACTTAACCATTTGATCAGTGTTAGCTGATTAAATATATATGGAATGCAACATTTTAAAAATTTAATATAGTAAAAGATAAATTGCCTTTAAACTGCTTCAAAATACTCCCCTAGCATCAAGCACACTTTCTGTTTTTGGGAATGTCTTCAGTGTAATAAGCTTTTAAAAATTTAAATATTAACATTATTTTTGATCATCCCTGGTCATTTTAACAATTTTTTATGTTTGATCTGCAATAAACACTTCACAAAGGAAGTGCTCAGGACTTTCCACTACAACAAATCTCAGTCAAAATTTTTGGTTTCTAAGTCAAGGCACAACTGCTAAACCATGCAGTATATTTAGTTTGTGCTGATAACATTATCACCAAGTTCATTATATTTAGGATTAGGATAAACAGAGTAAGTTACAGGTATCAGAACTGAGAAGGAATCCATGTCCCGAGGATACAGGCACAGAATAATAAACAGAAATCAAAAGAGAACATTTTCTTGGCAAGTCTAGTGACTTCTGACCCCAGCTCTCGGACCTGTTGCATTTGATGACACTGATTCTGTGGACATAAGGCTAAAGAGTGACTTCAGTAGCAGAGATCTCAATTCCTTCCAAACAGTTGGTCTCCACACCACACTTTCCTCATGGCCTTCTTCATGTCTGTGTTTCTCAGTGCGTAAATGAGAGGATTGAACAATGGTGCAATCACAGTGTAAAAGAGAGCTAATACCTTGTCATCGCTGATGGAATCAGCTGTGGGGGCGTAGGTGAAGATAAGAGGCAGGAAGAACAGGAACACAACAGTGATGTGTGAGCCGCAGGTGGACAGGGCTTTGCGGCGGCCCTGGGAGGAGCCGGTCCTCAAGGTGGACAGGATAATGATGTAAGAAATCACCAAGGCAACAAAGGTCAAAATAGCCAGCACCCCTGTGGTGGTAATGATTGTAATAAACAAGTGCCTTGTGTCCGTGCAGGCAAGCTTCAGCAATGGGAATATGTCACAGAAATAGTGGTCTATCTTACTGGGACCACAGAAGGGAAGATCAATAATAATCAATACATGCACGAATGAATGGAGAAAGGCTCCAATAATAGAGACCATCAAAAGGCTATAACACATCTGCCTTCTCATGACAGCCATATAGTGAAGTGGTCTGCAGATGGCCACATAGCGATCATAGGCCATGACCACCAAGATGAAGATCTTGGTGGCACCAAAGAAGTGGGCATAAAACATCTGGGCAATGCAGCCATTATAGGAGATGGTATTCCACCGAGTCAAAAGATCTATGATAAATTTGGGGGCCACTGTGGAAGTGAAGCCCATATCCATGAGAGACAGGTAGCTGAGGAAAAAGTACATGGGCTGTTTGTGAAGGTGGCTGCCCCTGATGGTGAGGAGCATGACCAGATTTCCTGAGAGAATTGCAAGATAGCAAAGTGAGAAGAGCACAGAGCAGATAGCCTTTACATCCTCATCACTAAAAAGACCTAGGAGTATAAATTCTGTAACATTTTCATACTCCATTACTTCTGCGGATTTGATTACTTAGAAAGAGAGGATAATATACCTGAAACACTATACTTTTTGAAAGTATTGATTTATTTTCAAAGTCATTTGCTTTTTCAATAAACAAGTGTTGACTATGTATCATGATCCAATCAATATAATTGGAGCTAGGAGTATACAAATTAGCTCAATATGGAGAACACCTACTCACAGTATAGTTGATTAGAGTTCAAATGCAATAAATATAGTGCAAATAATCAATAAATTGCAACTGTGATGAATTCCAAAGTCTCATGATTACCTTGAAGAGCAGGTTGAATAAGTTAAAAAAATGTATCATATTTTTTCCACTTTAATTTTGAGATGGAATTTCAATACTACAGCTTAAAAGAGGTTTCTAAAGCTGCACTATACTTACAAATCTTGGCCTTTCCCAGTGACTTCAACTACTAAATTCTGAATGTGTGAAGGTGTCTAGTACTCTAATCAATGCCATATGTTAAACGGTGACTCTCTCAGTAATCATCTCAGAAAGTGCCTTTAGAATATTTCCTTAAACATTTCTTTGAATACATAAAGGGAGAGGAAAAGCAGGAAGCAGATCTTTGAAGAGAATGGTCGGTCCACAGTTTGGGCTTCTAGCACTGCTGTGGCTTCCTAGAATTTATGATGTTTCCCGGTCTCTTCTTCAACGTAATGCAGAAGCCTTGTGGTTTTCACCAGAGCCTTGTTTGCTAGCATTTCCTTTTACAATGGCACAACTAGTGAAGGGGGGTGGGAGATAAATTGCATCCAGAGATTTTTCTTCAATTCATTCTTTTCAGCATCTTTGTCTCTGAATTGAACAAACTGGACCTCATTTTTACCTTTACCAGGATCATGGTATGTTTATGAAGCCATGTCCTAGAAAATGTCAGTGAAAACAAGGAAATATTTAATACAAAATAAAGTGCACTGAAGTTAAAAATATCTTGATGGAAAAATGTATCACACAAATACTACAGTCAAGTGTCAGTTTTACAAAAAACTGCTGTCATTAATGAACATTTGTTATTATATTTATGAAATAGAACAAGAAGTTAATGCACTTTGTAGTTTATGAGAGAAAAAGTTTTAGGAAAGGCACTTTCAACCTGCAAAGAGATTTTGAATAGGACTGTAGATAGTTTAAAATTGCTTTGAAATCAATCCATGGACCTCTAGTTAGTACTGTCTGGTTTAACTTCTTCTAAAATCTCTGAAAGTGTTACTTAGGAAAAGATCAATTGTGATGGGCCTTGATCTGTAATGTGAAATTTTTAAGTAAAATTTTAAAATTTATTTTAACTTCGAGTCATCTCTTCTTTCTCTGGAAATAGAATCCTTTCCTTACTTATAGAATTTTATTGAAATACGTAAAAAAGATTAAAACCTCTGAAAAACTTTACTTTGTGCTCGATTGTTAAGAAGTAGAAATAAAACAAATTACTTTTTCTAAATTAATCAATATAGTCATTGTTTAAAAACCAAAATTACTTTTTATACATACTTCGACTGCACACATAACCACAATGTGACACTGGAGAAAGTAGCAGAGGGTGGTGGAGGGATGAAGCTGAAGCGAATCTCTTCTGTACATGAACACAGCTGCCAAAAGGAAACTCATTAATCTGCACAATCAATAGAAAGGTGCAAAACAATAATCCTTCATAGTAATTACAAAAAGATGGTAACAAAAGTTTTTAGTAAAACTTGAAAAGCACATTGAAAAATTCAGCAACAGTTGATATACACCATGGTTAAGGTAACTTTTTAAAGAGAACAAATGAGTGAGCGTTCCTTTTCAGGTACTGAAGTACAGTGTAAGTCTATGACAACTAAGAAGTTCTGGAAGAAACAGATGGCAGAGTTCAAAGGCAGTCAATAAAAATACATGAATTTATTACATTTGAACCTACATTTCAGTTAAAATTGCAAAATGTTGAAGTCTTTGGTAACTAGTATTAGAACTTTGAATTTCTATTTGGAAAAATATCCTATCTTGTTGGTCCAAAAATGATATATTTAAGGTGGCTGAAATAAACATATATGTCAAACAAAATTGTTTTAAAAATGCATGCTATCGGGGATATAGCTCAGTGGCATAAATGACTGTCTTGGAAATGCAAGGTCCTGAGTTCAATCCCTAGTATAAAAAATGATAAAATGCATATTAAATGAATAATTATATGGGAGAATGAATTTTTACCTGAAAACATTTGAAGAGATATGTAATGAATTTAAATATTTGATAGGATGACATTTCATATAAATAAACTATTTTTAAAAGTGGAAAAATACACACACACACACACACACATATTCTATAAATCTCCCATATACTACCCTGTTTTCAAACAAGAATAAAAATGTTACATAAACAATGTTCACAAAGAAAATCACAACAGGTTATTAGCTCAAGTATACACTTTCTCCAACACTTTTGAATGAGGAAGATGCAAATTAAACAATGAAGCTCACTCAGCAGCCTTGTGAAAACAAAATTACAAAACTTGTCCTTATAAAATTTGATGATTCTCTTTAAAAATAAGCATTTGACCTAGTGACAGCATCCCATAGAGCACTCACAATAGCATTCATATTTGTCTTCTTCACATTACCAAACAAAATCTAAAGAAAGAAATATTAAAGCACTTAAAACCCCTGATGAAGAGAATGGATCTAAAGTATGATATATTCTTGTTATGAAATATTGGGCAGAAGCTTAACAAAATTTATCTATTTGGTGCATCTAAAAGGAATAAAGCAATAAGTCACATCATCTGGTGGACCATAATAATGTACACAAAGATGATCAAAATATGATGACTTTATAAAGTCACAAACCACAGAACCCAGTGAGTGCCTGTATGCTGAAAGATGAAGAGGAGAAGACATGGAAGGGAATAGTGACATTACAGAAATAAAGGGGGTGATGGCCAAGAGAAGTATAATTAAAACAGTTTTTAAAATTTCTATTTCTTTGTTACAATTATGCTTAAAATACAATTTACATAATTTTTATTTCTTTGTTAGAGTATTTTAAATATCATTGCTTTTAAAATTAAATTCACTTAAATTTTAATGTGGAATAGTAACAATATATAATCTAAAGAATGAAGTTTAAACATAAAATAGAAATAAAACCTTGATTAGAGTCCAGTGAACTTCTATATTACTTGTTGCCGGCACTGTTTCCTCAGTAACTTAAGTAAGCTCACATATATATGCTATTCTCTAAGCACTGTACCCCATGGATTACCACAGGAACCCTTAAAATAACTAGGAAGATAGAATTCTGTTCCCCACATTCACAGGAAATATTTTATATAAGAACACAAGGAATATATTTGTATCTACAGTTATATCAGTATCTGCTTCTATTTTATATCTGTATGTGGATTTGTTTTCATCTCTTTATAATCTTAAATTTGGATAAATTTCATGGTGTCTTAAATATCATAGGTAACATCAGTGACTTGAATTGAAAGCCTCTGACGTGTTCCTGGAGTAGAAAAGTTATCATATTTACACCATCTCTGCTGAAACAAAGTTAGAAATAAAATCTACAAGGGGACAATCCAGACACCAATACTCACTTTACCTTTCCACAACCTCCAGAAAGAAAAAAAAGGGGGTGAAAATTCTCAACTTCTGATTTTCATGATCATCTTGTTTTTCACTCTCATAGAAATTCTTCATTAGGAAAAGAAGTTTATCTTTGCTTCATAAATCACAATCTGCAGTTGTATTCTCAAGGGAGGCAGATTGACCCTGTGGATGAGTATACTGCTTGTGGCTGAACAAATGGCTTCCAATATGTGGCCCACCGCTCAACTGTAGAATAATTTTAGGCAACCTAGAATACACTCTGAGCCTGGGTTTTGAAATGTGCAAAACACTGCTAACAATATCTATCATACAGGTTTCTTGAGAAATTCAAATAAAAATATTGATTAAAAATAGCTGTGTAGCCAGGCATGCTGGTACACACCTGTAATCTCAGCACTAAGGAGGCTGAGGCAGGAGGATCACCATAAGTTTGAGGCCAACCTGAGCTACATATTTAGTTCAAGACCAGCCAGAACTTCACATTGAGACCGTCTCAAAATACAAAAATGATAACCACAGCAAAGCCCCTAGCTGTATATATGTATATCTAATGCATTGAAAAAATTAACTAAATCTTAAATCTTTTATTTTTAATGTTAAAAGGACTAATATTCTGACATTGTTTAAGTGATTTGTAAGTCAAGAGAGGTTTGAGGGATAAATTTTTAAAATCAGTTTAGTGTACTACTGAAAATAGATTTATTCAGCTGTTATAAACTATTTTACAATTAATCTGTAGTGGAAATCCCCAATAAACTGCTGTCACATTTCACAGACATGACATCAGTATAGGCAATTAAGAGTTTCAGCCTAATAGCTACAAAAGATAACCTCTCTTATAACTGTAATACTTTAGGGGGAATTTCAAGAAAATAACCATTTTCTCTCCACATTATACAAAGTAATTTAGTAGTTTTTTGGGGGTTTGTTACCTATGATAAAGAAATATTCATCGTGTAATATGAATTTCAACTGTGGTTACATTTTTTTTTCAGAAACACTGAATTCAGGTTTGCAACATGAATTTCAGTTGTGGCTATGGATTTTTTTTTTTAAAATACTATACAATGTCGAGTTATTTCAAAGTCTCATCTGCAGTACTGCAGGAAATGAACAGCCCGGTCTCATCTGCTGCACCTGTTAGGTGATTTGGGAAAAGTCTCCGAGTTCTCTGGGCTTCTTGCTTCCCTTAAAATTTTAAGGAAGGAGGAACTGGGCGTGTGGCTCAGTGACAGAACCGGCCTATCACCCCTCTGCGTGCGTAGCGTTCCCACCTTCAGTACTGTGTAAATGTGTGTATGCATCGAGGGTAGGAGTGGTCTCTGGAATCTTGTGGAAGCAAGAGTCCTTTTCAGTCAAATGTTCTACTAAATTACTTATCAATTAACAATCAACATCACTAACTAACATCCTTTCTCTTACCATCAGAAATGGATTCTTTTAGGTAATATTAGTTTGATTTTTTATTTGTTTTTAATATTGAAACTCTCGACTTCAGCTGATGTCAGCTAAGGTAACTTAGATTAAATCTAACACCTATCATTAAGGTGGGTTGTTTGGGAAAAAAATTGGGTGTGTCTCTGTGTGTATCAGTGCTTGTAAAAGTGTAGTTATAAATATCTATTATTACAGAGATGTTCAGAAAAAATTTAAAAAGAGAACAGGGTCTATGTAATTTTCTTGCTAAAGTATTCCATTTAAATAGTAAAGATGTGGTTCTTCTGTAGGTTATGTATTTAGAAATAGTCTCCCTGTACCTACAT